CCCGCGCTCAGCGGCAGTGGGTGGCAACCTGGCCAACTACAACTCCGTCAACCTAACGGCGCGCCACATCGCCGCATCAGCTGCAGAAGAGTCCGCTCTATCCGAGCGCCTACAACAGCGACGACGTCATCCACATGAACACCATGCCGGGGCATGGGAATGGGTGTGGGTGTTACAGTAGGTGACTGCGACAACTACGCACAGCAGCAGCAGCAACAGCAGCAGCAGCAACCCCAAGTGGAGGTCACTCCGCACGCATCATCGGCTGCAGGTGCGCCGCCAATCCACGCTGCCAGCTCAGCCCACTCCGGCCATCTACATGTCCACCTCCCGAACCGCCTGTACAGTCGCTCCCCGGAAAGATCGCCGGGGGAGCAGCAGCGCTATCCCGCCTTCATGCGGCAGACTTCGTTCCCAGAGCCCCGAGCACCTATCATCGCACCAAGCTGCTGCCAGCACGGGAGCACCTTCATCGGCGGCGGCAGCACCTCCACCTCTGAACTACGAATCACAGGCCTCCAGCATGGCTAGCGATGAGCAGGATGTGGGACCCATGCCCAAGCCCAGGATGACGCGGCAGGCCACGCTCCCAAATCCCGAGCAGCATGTGAAGCTACTGCCCACATCCCGCCAAAGCGTCAGACTTCCCGCAGTTTCGACGTTCTCCGGAGTTTATGCGTCAGCAGACGCTGCCCAATCCGGAAGCTTTTAGCAGTGGAAACACCCTAACAGTGCACTCCACGCCGCCGGCGAAATTCATGCCCATCTCGCCCAGGGCCAAGCAGAATTTCCTCTTCCCCAGCGTTCCGAATCCCCGACAATTTCTCTCCCAGCCCATGTACCCGCCGTGGGAGGCACTGACTGGGCAGTGGAGGCAGTGTGGCCAGCACCGGAGGTCCCAGTGGTGGTGAGCAGTACTCGAGCAGCCAGAGTGTGAACATCCATCACTCCCGGGATCCGCATGCCAAGATGATCAAGGTGCGCAGCCACAGCAACGAGGAGTACTCGAATACCAAGGCACATCCGGAGAACAGAAGATTGCTGCCGGAGATTCCCACAACTGTGCAGCGACCAGGTGGTCGATCACCCAGTCGACTGGTGCGACAGGATTGCCTCAAGGAGGAGCGAACCTTCGGGGAGGCCAAGCAGCAGTCCATCAGTTTCCCGATGTCACCGAGGAGCTGGACAATCGTCCGGAATACGTGGATTACTTTGGTGATAGTGCCACTAGCTTCTTGGAGTCCGATGAGGTGCAGTACGAGCGGAACTACAATGCCGGATTCAGCAGTGAGCCTCCATTATCTACAACAATGGATCGGATGATGGTAGCTACCAGAACACCTCCCAGAGACCCATCTACAGTGCCGAGAATGTCCTGGCCGATTCGGGTTACGGAGGAGGTGCCAGCGTGGGTCTGGGAGCCAGTGGCGGTTCGGGTGGTGTGCCCACCTATTATCCCGATATGGGCACTCCACAGGGCTTTTATGGAGGAGCCGTCTGCCCCGCACTCCGCTGATGCACAATCGTCTCAGGCGGCGGCAGTCCAGGGAGCTGCAGATGCAGCAGGAGGAACTGGCCCAGCTCTCACAGGTCTCGGATGCCAGTGGCAAGGGTTCCGGCAACGAAGGTGCCTCCAGCAGTGGAGGTGCCTCCGATAGCCTCGCCGCGAGAGAAGAAAGCCCGAGCAGATGCGCTCTGTTTCAGAGGATTCGGGAGCTAAGACCACTCCCAAACCGGTAACACGACGATCCTTCTCGCATCCCGAAAAGGACACACAGGTGGGATGACTCTTGAAGTTTTAGAATAATCTAAGTATCATAAAGCATACATCTTATTTATGTATATATATTTTTTTGAACAGCCCACGAAGAAAACGGAGATATCTAAGATACCCAGCCCACGACCCTTGGCTGACATCCTGGACAAAACGAGGGGCACCTCCAAGATTCCCCAGGCGAGACGACGCAACAGTCGCACGGGAATCGGAGAGGCTGAGGAGGGTAAGTACCGAAGATACTTTTGATAGTAGCTATGGTTGCATTCTGCGCCCACGCATCCGTAGAATCCAGGGACCGCAATTATTACCAGTTTGTTATCAAGCACCCATCATTTATCTTCACCAATCTTCACCAGTTTTGATTCATAACATACTCGATCCTTATTTAAATAGACATATTAAATATACATACATTACAAACAAAAAAAATAATCAAATGTAGTTAGTATATATTATGTAGTATATATAAATTGCACACGTATTGCTAGCAAAAACAAATAATAATCAAATAACTCCCACAACTAAAAATAACTTAGAACTAGCTTCGACTGGTTAAAGTTATTATATTTTATTTTCATTGCTAAATATATTGCTTTATTTCTGTATTTGTTATATTTTTAAAGAAAATGACAATGATAATAATGACAATAATAATTACGTTTAAATAAGTCAAACATAATAAAGTCCACGATATTAATAATATACTTTTTCAAAAAATCGCTTTATAATCATGACTATAGAAAAGCTTTTTATCGTTATCATGCTACATCAAACCATTTACAATAAAGTAATGATAATAGGTTTCAATTATGAGTAATGTGACAGTCAAAATTTAATGCAAAAATAATAATCCCAAAAAACATATTATAAAGAAATAGTTGCCCCATCCCTAGCTGCCCAAAGTAGTGTCTGCCTGCGCATAAGTAACTCTGTATTTACGGCCAATTAGTTAATTGATTGATTAATGAATTCTTGCGGTCCCTGGTAGAACCTTGAGTAGCTGCGCTTGTTCCGGCACCCGATTGATGAACGCTTTGCACCCCTTCCCGTTAACGCCCCCACAGGTAGCACGCCCAGCACATTTACTCCTTCCATCAACAGCTTATGCATAGAAACTCTGATTAGCCATGCGACTGAAAAAAACAGAAATTCCTGTCGCCTCAGTAGCCTCAGTCGCCGCCGCCCAGGAGGAGAATCAGAATCCGCCGAATCCCCAGGGGGATAACCAGGGCCAAGGATCTGGAGCGGAGCAGCCGGTCAACGGCAAATCCCTCGAGTCCTCGGCCAACAAGGAGCAGCAACAGCAACAGGGCGATCCAAACAGCTCGGCGGTGAGTGGAACATAAAAGGCCCGGAGACAAGTAGGCTTAAAGGGTAAAACTTTTTTATATTCCCATTAGGAGGCCACCCACACCAGCACTTTGGGCGAACAGGAGCTGCAGAATGCAGTGGAGGCCGCGGCGGTTGTCTTCAAGAAGGTCGTGCTGCAGCGTCGCAAGGAGAAGGAGAAGGCCGCCGAAGAAGGTTAGTGCTAATAGCTGTCCCCATGTAAAGCACTGAGAGAAAGATCTATGAAAAAGTCTAAAATAAAATATTCTAGAATTTAGAGGAGACCCCTTCATTCAGTTAGAGTCCTTAAATAAAAACTCAGAAAATTAAAATTGATATTATATTACCGAGTACATGCAATAACGTCCAGTAAAATAAGTCAAATGGGCTTTATTGCATTCGAAAAAGTGCGATAACGCCCATAGGCTGTTTTTTATTATTGCATGTAGTCAACATTACTTTTTCCAATGTGACAGATTGCTTAATTAATTGGAAATTACTATTACTACTATTTATATTTTCAAGAAAATCAATTGATATTTTATTCTTGATCTTTGTTCCTTGGCATTTTCTCAGTGCCCACTTTGTAGTTGTATCTGTGTAGCTAAGTGTATGTTTGGGAGCGTAATTAACTTGGTGATGGTAATGCTAATGCCCGTACTGATGCTACTTCTGATGCTGATGCTGATGCTGATGATGGTTGGTGGGTGATGGTTGGGGATGGCCTGGGCCACTAACAAACTCTTTGTGAAGGGCTTCGCCGTCTTCCGTCTAATTTCGCTCAATTAATTAAGCTCCTTCTGGGACTGAAGGTGGGCGCTCCTTTGCTTGTCATTGTCAAGCCACGCCTGTTTAACCAGAATTCTCCCTTCCTTTAGGAAAGTAAACTTGTAACAATTTATAGAATTAATCAAGATTCCGTTTATAGATAATATAGTTTAGCTAAAGCAAGATTTATAAAAAACTACAGTATAACAAAATAACATTTTCTAAATGAAACAGATCAAAATTTTAATATAAATACATATTTCTTAAAATCTTAAATATTGTTCCTTGAAGCTTATGATTTAAATCCGTTTCAAACAACACAACTAATCTTTTGAGTATATATGGCATAGCAGAAAAAGGTGTACAAGAGTAGTTTATACCCAACTTAAAGTTTATTTTCAACTTTTATTATAAAAAGTAACCATAAAAAAATAATAAAGTCAAAGAACTTGGCAATTAGAGCACTTTGCAGTCTGTTTTGGAGTGACCTTGGGGAAATCTTTCCCCCACACATTCTTTGGTCATTGGCTTTTCAAAGGCGAATCCCAAAAGAATGCAATACTTTTTCTCGCTTACTTCTTAGGCGAGTTCCTAAAAGTATTCCATCAATTTTCGCCTTTTTCACAGCAGACTTTTCTTTCTCCATTTGAATTAAATTTCCCCCGAAGCTATTGGCGACATGACCACAAACGACCGACGAACCGAATTTAAGAGCAAAGTTGGCGCGGTTCAAAAGATTTTCGGGAACGGGACCGAAACAAAATACAAAAACCTTGCCGTGGGCTGGCGGGATAATTTTTTGGCAACTCATAAATCGATTTCCCGCCCACACGCGTTTTTTTTTTCCCAAGCATCAAGAGTTTTCAGAGGATTTTCCCGGGGGGGCAGAAGGGGCACAAGGACCGCCGAACGCCTTTGCCGGCTTTTGTTATGTTTCAATTTGGCGATTTTGTGGCGTCTGGTTCTGTGACCACCAACGCAGCGTGTGTCTACGTGCGGATTCGAGATGCGGTGGGCTGTCGCCTCGAAGGATTCCACAATCCGGGTCCCACGGACAAACCAAAGCCCCGGCGCCACCCACTGGAATGTTTGGACTGCCGAAACTGTTGCGTTAATCTTATCTCCTGCACCTTTTGTGCTCCGATGTGGATGTGGGTACGGCTCTGTGAATGCCCAAAATTGTTCGCTGTTCGCTGTCAGGGAACGATTTTTGAGTACACAAAGGAAAATGTTTAAATCAGTTGGGTTTCTATATTAATGACATATGTTATGGTCTTATTAATGTTTTTTTTCAACAAGGCCTTATTTATTAAAATGATAGTAACTCTGTAATTGAGTTAAATTTGTGTTTCTGATGAATTTAATTTCTCAATTTCAAGTTTGGTTTTATCGGACTCAAAACTTTTAAGTAGAGGTTAGGTTCTGGTTAAATTTTTTGGTCAATAAATTGAAAGTTTTGAAAGGATTTGTTGTTTGAAAATTAACATCACATTTGTCTGTCCGAATAATTTAACCTCATGTTAGCATTTTTTGATCGATATCAAACTAGAACTTTAACATGACATTGAGAAATCGGGCCTAACTGACTAAATGTATTTAAAAAAGTAATGGCCCACTGAAAACATGTATGAATATATTCATTTAATATATAAATACCATGGATTACCAAAGTATTAATCGGGCCTAACTGACTAAATTTATTTTAAAAAGTAATGGCCCACTCTAAACATGTATAAATATATTCATTTACTATATAAATACCATGGATTACCAAAGTATTATATATCAACAAATCAACCTAAACATATCTTCGGTAATATCATAAATCTGCAAATAACCAACTGTTTATAGGAGATAGACTTCTAAATTTCTCTCAGTGTTGAAAACGGATAAAAAGGAAGTGTGTTTGTGCCTGGTGCAAGGAGGGCCCCGATCAAATGTTTACTTTCTGGCTGCCAGGGATTGACGCTATGTGCATCCGCTATTGCAGTTTTGTTTGTGCACCCATCCAAGCGAAAGGGGGTGGGGGCGGGGTTTGACATACTCCATGGGGAGGGGGCGGAGGAGGAGTAGGATATGACGATGCTGGCAACTTTAAAAGCTTTTTGGCAATTTTTGCTAGTCCTCGTCCTGCCAAGAAAAGCTTGTGGCAAACAATCATAATCAATCAAGAGTCTTTGAACTGCTTCCTGTCAAGATGGCTACTTGAACGGCAGGGGAAATGTTTTTGGGAATGTTTAATTTTGGTCAGGATGAAGTGAGTAGCTCAAAAGTATAACATGCTTTCATTTCCTCGAGGTTGTGGCTTTTCTTTTTGGAAACCACTTAAGTTTTTTTTGGTTCTGGCTGTGCTGTTTTGATCTTGGTTTGAATTTCCCCATAATGTTGAATGATATGCTATTAGATTTCCTGTTCGCAGAAAACGAAAGGTTTATTGCATGGCAATATTGTATTGGTATTGTATTAGTCAGTGAAACAAATAAAATACATTTGTTTATACGATTCAATAAGCAATACAATTTCAGACGTAATACGACACATGATATGTTTACTATTAGATTAAAACTTCTTTTGACAAGCCAATACTTACTTATAAAAAGAAATAATACTCTATTTTATGGGGAATGTACCTGCTTAGTACTGGAATATCAATTAAATTGATTATATTAGTGAAATCACATTCGATTTCAATACAAGGTGTGTATGGCCTAGAAACATTCACAGCCTAGATAACAATCTATAAATTGGGCTAGATAAAATGACTAACACTCCTTCCAACTGCCTGCTTTGTGTGTGTATAACCTTTGGTATCTATTAATATCTGCGGTTTTTCGGTCTAACGAAGCTTAACCCATGCTAGCTATAAGTTAAACAACCACCCGTACTTGTGCCCAAACTAACCCATCTGCAACCCATAACTTTGGTGTGGAAAAACTCACCCTCCTTCGGCTAACCAGTATTTCACCTGTGTGTGTTTTTTAATAACCGGTATTTGCGTACCTTTTCGTGGTGTTGGTCAACGTCAAAGTGGTTGTCTCCGAACTTATTTGCCCGAAACTTCATCCCCGGCTACTTCACAGGCGTGCAGCAGCAGCAGCTGTCGGTGGTTTCCGGTGATACCGGTGGATTAGGAGGGGGCGATGCCATGGAAACGTCATCGTCATCGGAGCTGGACTTCAGGTGTTCCACTCAACACGGACGCCAGCAGCAGCAGTCGCAGTATAGCGTTGAAGCCGACGAGTTCAAGTTAGTCTTCCTCAACTCGGATTCATCGTCCTCCTGTCACGGCGAAGAAGAGGAAGAGGAGGAGGATGACACGGATTCATCCTGCTCCACGCACCACTGTCACAGCATAGTGAGCAATGTGGAGGATTGCGATTGGGATTACTTTGAGCCCTCCATGATCTCCACCACCACGACGACAACAACAACGATGATTGCTTATAGCACAGCCCGTGCCACGCCCACTCCGCCGCCGCGTGTGAGGCGTCAGTCCAGCGATAGTGATTCTCCGCTGGTCCAGAGACGCACCCAGCCACTGAGGAGCACCTATTGCCCCAGGATCAGGGAGAGTGACACGGGAACCGATGAGGAGTTTGTCCTGAACACCGAGAGTAGTTCCCAGACCAGCTCCGATCAGACACCACCACCCGTGCCTCCTCCTCCCCATCCACTGAGTATGAAGACCCGAATTAAGACGCGTTTCCTGAAGAATCACCACCACCACAGTCACAACCGATGCAGCTGCAATCCCAACCAGCAACAGCAGCAGCAACCGCAGTATGTGCCCATCCCTGTGCCCGTGCCCATTCCTGTGCCCATGGCCGCCTATCCCAATTGGCCCGATGCAACCGGTAATCCCCTCCTGGAACAGGACGAGCAGCTGGCCGCCAGTCTGCAGCAAATGTGGAAGGCAGCCGGTCACCAGCAACAATTTGCCGCCATAGTTGCAGCCTACTCGCAGCAATTTGCAGCGGCCAGCAGCAACATGTTTGATGCAACGCCGCCGGTGACCAGCAAGAGTTACCAACAACTGCCACCACGCCGCCGCCCATGATGCCGCAGCGCTTGAGAGGATTGGGCCTGGGTGGATTTAAGTCCTCGGCCCCAGAGCTGAGTGCCTCGCTGGGATCGCTGATGACGCAGTCCCTCTGCTCGACCATATCCTCCTCCTCCTCGTCCAGTACCTCGGGCTATGGCACTGCGGGACGGAGTCTGGAAACGCTGGCCAGTCCCAAGCGAGCTGCCAACTCGATGCAGCAACAACAGCAGCAACAGCAACAGCAATACCAGCAACAACAGCAGCAGCAGCAACAAATGGCCAGCAATGCTTTCAAGCCAAAGCCAACAAGTTTAGTAGCGTCGCGTTCGCCGACGGGTGAGCAACCAGAAACGAGCAACGCGCGTCGCGGCAGCAGCAGCAGCAACAACAGCGAGAGCGACGACAGCAACACCAAGAGCAGCAGCAGCAACACCAAGATTAACAGCAACAACAACAACGCAACGCCCACAACGGGTAGATTGTGTAATGTTTATGATAAAACCGGCACATTGCCAGTGCCCGCCGTTCAGGCACATGTTGCCAGTGTAGATAAGAGCCCATCAGCAGCAGCAGCGGCAGCAGCAATATCAACAGCAACACAAGCGACATCCACAAAGGGAAGCGCTCTGAGAGTGGCCAGCAAATACCAGAGCCGAAATCTATGCGAAACCCAGCCAGGGGCAACAACACAAACCTACCTGGCCAGTAAAAACAGCCACAAAGAAGTGGAAACGAATATACATAAAAATCAAGTACCAACAGCAGCAGCAGCAACAACAACAACAGCAACACAAACACAAACAGCAACTAGAGCTGCGGCTCCTGCGGTAATAACTCGTTTCGGCGGACTTGCAGTCGAAAATGCTGTTGGAAATGTGGCTAAAAGTTGCTGTCCCAATCCCAATACCAATCCCAAACCCAGAGCCCAGCACCCCGAGCACATAGATCAGCGGTTGGCGGCGGCGGAGATTGCCAAGAATTTGTCCTCCAATCGACTTATAGAGCACATCAAAATGTCCGATGAGGCATCGGCATCGCCTTCGGTTTCGGTTACTGCCCATCTGCAGAGCGAGAGCTATGCGGCCAGCAGTCCAGATGAGGCCAGCAGCAATAGCAGTCAGGAGGAGGGGGATCGGGAGGAGAATCCGGATCGGAATCAGGAACAGGAGCAACCTAAACCACGTAAGACCACCCAGAGAAGCTACAATGTGGCGGAAATGATGGAGGAGCAGCAAGATCCAGTGGTTCTTCCAGAGGAACAGCGCCACCACAGCACCACCAGCAACTCCAGCTCCAGTAGCTCCAGCTCTAATTCCAGTTCCAGCTCCGAATCCTGTGACTCGGATGATACGGGCACAGTGCGGGATCGCCGGCCCAAGAGGAGGAGATTCAACAAGGTGTTCATAGTGAATAGACAGCCTGGAGCACGGGTGAGACGCAGTTCCTCAACCGAGGGTGATTCACTGTCCTCCTCCGAGGCCAATTTAGAAGACTCATCCGACAATGATACGGATACCGAGCGCACGGATTGTGGGATTGTATTGAACTATGTGAAACCGCTAGAGGAGGAGGCCAAGAAAGCGGAGGAGGAGGAGGTGGATGCGCCGGCTGCACGTGATTGCCAATCGAGTGACGATGAGGAGGAGGATGATGATGAAAGTGAACGCCGTGTTGCCAACTCAAGCGATGAGCTGGCCAACTGCATTGTAGTGGTGGGCGGGCAGACGGATGACGCCTCCGCCGGCGTGGTGCTGCAGCACATGCGATCGCTGCCAGACGAGGGGGATCATCAGCAATTAGAGCGCTGCCACAGCCAGGTGATGGATTCTAGCGATGCCCTGGCCGCCTGCGATGAGCTGCACAGCATCTCGAACGATGTCAACCGATTGCTGGAGCTGCACAAGCAGAATTCCCAGCTGGAGATGAAGCTGCAGCGTTTGCGCCAGGGAGTGGCCGAAATCAATGAGGATCTGCAGCTGTCCAAGAGTGATAAAAGTGCTGATGGCAATGGCACTCATGTGGCTGCCACCCACTCAGGTAGTCCAGGGAAACCCGACGAGTGCAGCCCTTCTCGGAAAAGCCCCTCTAATGAGCTGGGTCTCACCTGCTGGCCAGAGCAGGTAAACGAAAAAGCAGAGGTAAAGGCAAATAGCGATGAGCAGAGTGGCAGAACAGCTGAGCAAACCGAGCACACTGAACAGAGGGTCGGCACATGCAGTCAAGCATGCAAAATAAACGACAACAACAGTGACTACTCGCTGGATTCACTCTCGGCAACTCCGGCGAGTTTGGGCTGCCCACCTGAGCAGGTAGAAGAGAGCATTCTGGAATTGCTACCTGCAAATGTCGCTCGCGAGCAGCGGCAATATCATCGGTTTGAAGCGAAACCGGAGTCTCTGGAGTCGCCAGTCGAAAATGAAATGTTAAACGTTGCGGTTGCTCCACGCTCGGCGCTCCAAGGCGGCAACAACAATACCACGAACAACAACGATAATAGCTATAAAGAAAACACCAGTAACAACAACAGCGAACTTGGCCATAATAATAATGACGCTTTCGCAGCACAAAAAAAGACGTGGAATAGCGGTTCGAGTGACGTAGTGAGTGTGAATTCAAATGTGAGTGGTGAAAACGAGTGTGACTACGACAAGATATTCGGTAGCCATCAGCAAAATACCCCAAGTGCAACAGCATCATCAGTTGGAGCAGCAGCAGCATCAGCAGCAGCAGCAGCAACACCTGACACACCTGCAACATTGCCCAGCGAACTGGCTTCGCCCAAAAATTCTCTTTCCGCCAAGTATCGCAGTTTGGTCATGATCACCAAAGACAATGAAAGTGCAGCTGGCGATTACGAAATGGCAAACAGCAGCAGCAGTAACAGCAGCAACATACACCACAGCAACACCAGCAACAAAGGCCCCACCAGCAGCAACTCTTTTGGCCAGAACTTTGCTGGTGACTCATTTCGCGCCTTGGAACTCGTGAGCAGCGATCGCGAATCGTACAGTGTGGACTCGCTAAACGATGCGCCCGCTGTGCCCGAGATCAGTGTGGAGGATGGTCTGGCGGATGATGACTCCTGGGTGGAGGAACTGAGTCAGCGGGGTGAGGATGAGGACGAGGAGCTTGCCACCACCACGCCCACGGCCACGGATTCGGAGGATGCGGAGGGCGAGAGTGATGGAGGAGCCAGGCGTCATGGCTATCTGGACAGGGAGGAGGAGCTGAGGGGCTATAACAGATCCGCCATTGACTTCACCCTGCACACTATAGTGGAGGAGAGCTGCGAGGAGAGCGAGGTGGCCTCCATGCGGGCGGACAACGAAGATGCCGAGCTGGAGGATGAGGATCTTGCCGAGAGAAGGAGGCAGCGCACCCTGCAGCACCACCACCGCCTGAGTGCCTCCGAACTGGAGAAGTACTTCTTCTTTGGCCTGGGCGATGGCCGGGTGATGAGTTCCATCGATACACGCGGGGATGACACCGCCTCCGAGGTGAGTTCCGAATGCTCCGAGAGTCTGGACTCCCTGCCGCATGAGGATCAGCTATTGGACACCAGTGGAGCCTCCGATCTGGCCTCTTCCCGCCTGGAAAAGTACTTCCTCTCCGGCTTCATGGGTTTTAATAGCTCAGACAAGCAGGCGGAAAGCGATGAGAGTGGAGGCAGTGTGGGCAGCGATAGTGAAGGTCATCCCAGTCCCAGCCAGCGAAGGAAGCGACTGGTGAGAGCCAGGGGAACGCCCAGGAGTCACAATTCCTCCCTGGACAATCTCCTGCTGCCGGAAACGGATACCCTGGATGCCACTGTTACATCCGCAGGAGGATCAGCTGCCGCCACTGTGGAGGACACATCCGAATCGGAGGCGGGCTGTGACGACACTGTGATCCATCTGGCCAACGCTGGAGCCTCGGATGGCTCCTCCTCGGACACCATCAAGCGCAAGAAGCAGCTGCGCAAGCGCCACGACTCCCTGGACGAAAAGAAGCTGCACGATCTGGAACCCTCCGAGTGCCGGACACCCACTCCAGGTGGAGGTGGTGGTAGCCAGGTACAGATGCAATCCCAGGCCAAGAAGCAGCAGCAACAGCACCACCACAGCCGGGATAGTGGCTTCGTGGGCAGCAACGATGATCTGCTAAAGGCGGCTCCAGATTGTGAGCCACCGAAGAGTCCAACTCCGGCTCTGGAGCAGATCAGTGAGGATCGGGAACCGGCTCATAGTCAGATTAGTCTGGCCAAAATGGATCTGCCCAGCACTTCGGCAGCAGCTGCGGCTGCCACTCCCCTTACCAGCCAACTGAGGAACCTAACACTGCCTAACTTGGTAAGAAAAGATAGCTTCAACAACTGGAGTTCCGATGAGGAGACCAACTTGATGATGAGCAAGATGAGGCAGTTCTTCAAGACTTTGATTGTAGCCACTGCCAATGCACAACAGAGTAAGCCCACCACTCCCAATCAGGGTCAGGTCCAGAGCACCACGCCCAGTTCCCAGCGCAGATTGGCCAAATCCCGGCCAGCTCAGTTGGCCTACTTCGAAAACGAGCTAACACGACTGATGAAAACAGTGCCGGGCATAAATGATGAGCAGGTGCGCGAAATAGTTGAGTACCTGAGCAGCGAGGACACGTGGTCCGATTCCTACGACTCCTCGGACTACACGAGCTCTGATCTGGAGGGCGGTGAGCGAAAGGGTCAACTGAAGGCTCAGATCTCGGCCAGCTGCCAGCAGATCATCAACAAATTTGAGATCGACGAGGAAGGCGATCGCGGAGATGGTGGCCTCCTGGACGAGAGCCAAAGTGTGCCCATGGAGGCCTTGGTGTACCAGAAGCTGGTGGCTTCCTTTAGCAAGGTGGCCGCGGGTGGAGAACCCGAGATAGAAGCTGCCCAGGAGGTGGAGGAGGAGGCGGAGCCCTCAACGGAGAGATCCCCGCAACTGTTTGCCAAGGTAATGCAGCACATCGGCACCCGGCTGGTGGCTCTGATGCACGAGGTGAGCAGCGGGAACGAGACGCCCACACCATCGCCGCAAGGACAGCGGCACCATCGAAGACTGCAGGCCAAGATATCGGCCACCACGACGGAGGATGAGGACGAAGTGGAAGAGCAGCTAAGGGCTATGCCCATAAAGCAGCTCAAGCTGCGCAGCAGATCTCATGATCTTCTGCTGGATGGAAGCACACCCCATTCGCACATGCATCTGCACCAGGCCACCGTGCATCATCCAGGGATTAGTGGAGCAACAGGAGCGGGAGGAGGAGCAGGATCTGGAGGAGGATCCTCCGGCATACCCGGACACTCGGAAACCGCCAGCGAGGAGTGTGGAGTGGCCAGTGACTACGAGCGGTTCTCGTGGCGCGGCAGTTTTGAGTCGGCATTACTGGCTAATGGCGACAGCAGAACGAGGCTCAGCCAGCTGAGCCAACTGGACAGGGATAACTCGTCGTCTGCGTCCGCTTTGGCTGTGGCAAAGCGCCGATCTGCAGGCGACCTCCTCTTCAGCCAGCACCAGGTGAGCCTCAGCCGCGAGCAGTTGGACCGCGTCCGCTCCTGCGGCAGCATCGGCGGCGGCGATGCCCACCACCATCAGTTGGAGGCGTCGCCGGCCAAGCCGTGGCTCTCCTCGGCGGGCTCCTCACTGGGTGGCGATTCTACCAAGGATGTGCGGCGTTCCAGCGTGCCGGATGCCATCTACGAGACGGATTCCAGCGATGAAGCGGCCTCCAATCAGTTTGGCGGTGCCAGATCCACTTTGCCACGGAGTCTCAACTCCGGCCAGGTGGTGGCCAGCACGAACTCGCTGCCCAGACTGCCCACCACCGGAGTGGGTGCACCCATCACCAGCACGCCCAAGACAAAGTCACAGAGCGCCTTGAATCACACACCCTCCAACTTGTCCACCGTTTCGGCCACTGGCAGTGCCAAGAGTGCGAGATACCGCTCGCCAGGATTGGCTGCCCGAGCGGCTGCTGTCAGTGGAGCGGGAGGAGCTTCTGGCAGTGGAGTGGGGGCCAACAGTGGTTCCACGGGCTCCAAGAAACTGGGCGCGGGCTTCCAGTTCCTCTACTCCAAACGCGATGCGCGCAAACGTCTCAACATGTCAGCGGGTGAGTTTTCCCTTTGTTTACCTTTTGCATACCGGTTAGGGGATGGTGGCCACACCTTGTGATGGTATCAGATGGAAGGGGTGGTGCGTACCCAGTTCCCGGGACACGCACATAGGCGTCAGCCGGCGGGCTCAAATAACTGGCCATGAAATTGCTTCCTTCCTAATGAAAAATTCCTCACGCCAAGTGGCAGGAGTTCAGCACTTGCCGACAAAAAAGTCCTGGGGCAATCTGATCCTTAGACGAGTGGGAGACAGATGGCCTCAAGGCGAGGTCTACACGGGGAAATAAACTTTACAGGAATATATAGTTGGAAAGTGGGTTATAATGCAGAAGAACATATAGTTTAAAATTCACATTTTGATAGGAAAATTCATATCAGTAAAGTGGATTTAGATTTCATTTTGTAAGTATCTAGTGAAAATTTCATAGATCAAAAAATTACAATCCTTAAAATGATAATTTCTTTATCGACTAGAATAAAGAACATCTCGATTCTGCCAAATCTTATATTTACATTTTCCATACTCGAAAAGCATAACCTGTTGAAACACCCACTTCCCAGAATGAATTCTGCATAAGTACCTCATAATGGGTATCCAAAGTTGGCAGAAGGGAGGCGCCGCACCCTGAACTATTTTATGCTGATTAGACTGGGGAAGAAATCCCGGGAATGTGACACTTCCCTCCAACTCAGCCTTCCAAGATAATGATGATGTTGATGTTGCTGGGAAGCCCACTCATAGATACAAACTCACACCAACTCAGATGGAGACATTCGGTTCCGCAGACAGCTGCTTCCCCCGAAATAAACTCAATCAAGGTCAATTAACTGTATCCATATTGAGCGCTCCACTCATAGCCAACTGCGACTGGGTTTCCAGTTAGCGTCTAAAGCGATTTTCGCACAGTTGCCTCAGTTAGTGTGTTAATGTGGCTCCAGATGTATCTGGCTATAGAAGTGTGTAGTTTTGGATGTGTGGAATATGATTATATTGATTATATTCCGCTTGGTCAATGGAACTCGAACTCGCTACTCGAAAACCTGGGTGCAGGCTCAAAGCCTGAACTTTGCTGTGTCACCTAGAGATGTGGGATGGGGGATGAGGGATGGTTGGAATAGGCTAAAACTGGTAACCAATCTAAAAAAGGGCACTCCTTAATGTGTTTAAAAATAAAGTACACACAAAATGTAGATAACATTTTAAAAATATTTTAGACGAACAAAATAATGAATAATATATGGATTACATATGGATAACCACATATGATTATTATTTTTAAATATTTCAAAATATTTATAAGCTGTTAAAATCCTACAGATAGTTTTTATAACAATTATTAAAAGAAACCTCGAATACAGTTAATAGGAACTAATCAAAAATGGAACAGTAATCATTAATTTTCTTTTATCGATAAAAAATATTAATCATTAAAAGAGAAATCGTATTAAAATGCATTTTCGACGTAATGCCTTTTATATTTTCTTTTGAAAACTCAGTTACTTTATAGCGTTCCGGCACATTAAACCGATAAGCCATTACGCTTTCATAGGCCCCCCAGATAAACCATGGAAAATACGAATTAAATTTTAATAAAACTTTCATTGCTTAAGCATAAAGCTTTTAAGCACAGAAAATGGTTAAAGAAATACTCGTAGATGAACTCATCATGATCCGAATTGAATTTTGGTCAATGGACCACCAAGGTTGCCTGTCAACTTTTTCACGTTGCCATCTCTAAAACAGTTGTGTTTACACAGTTTCTATTTCCAGTTCAACCAACTCGTTTGTCTTGGCCAAAACACAATTAAATGGGTGCCCCCGCTGCTTCCAAAACTCTTTTCAAAGTATTGAACTTCTGTACGTTTATACGCCCATTCGTTATTTAAGCTCTTGACGTTGATAAAGAGCTTTGCCAGCTTATTTCCTGTATTTATTTCATTTATTTCATTTTGCATACAACAATTAATGTTTTCAAACCCACAAAAGAGTTGACATTGCCTGGGGAATTGTACATTTTCCCCATCTAGTTTCGTGCATCGCATCGCTGCACCGCCGGAGTGCGGAAGTGGTCCGTGCTCCGAGCTCCATGCTCCATGTCCACGTCCATTTTCCACGATGTCCGTGCCCATCCGGCAGCCGTTTAAGTGTTTTGCACCAAAACAAAACCCAAGTTGCCAGCGGGGGCCGATGCATGCAACAACAATATTGCACTGCAAGTGATTTCCACAATTATGCAAATCGAACCGACTTGCAATTATCGCAGCCGCATGACGGAAGCTTCGACTGCAAGTCGGTCTTCAAAGCGGAAGATCACCCTGTAAGCGACACCCATTACCCGGCTTTTAAAGATCTGACTTCGGTTTGGGCCCCTAATTAAATTAACCTTTCTGCCCGCGACAGCCGAGACAGAATACCCAGAAATTCGAGACGGAATGTCTCTATATATCTTTCATTCTCTCCCTCTGAAAATCTCGATGGGTTGGCGAGGAGAGATCTGTGGTTCTTGAGGCATGAACTAAGTTAGAAATTAGCATAAGATACATCTTATACATTCAGTTCTCAAGTCTCTGAAGTAGCCCATCATGTTAAACCTATTTTTATAGCCACTTATCTATCATCAGTAGCTGTTTTCTATCCTAAGAAAGTATTTTAACAAAAGTTAATCATATATATGATCAGAAAGACATCGTTTAAGGAACACTTAAAAGATTTTTTGTAATGCTAATCTATCATCAGTATGGTTTTTGAATTTTATGACAGTACAAACAAAAGTTTTTATTTATCACAAAGATAAATATGTAGTTTCTTAGATACTTAGTTAAAGAAGTCTATTCCTATAACTTGTTTTTAAATACCTGTTTATTATCAGTACATGTCTACCATCTAACGAAAGTATTTCAACAATAAAGTAATAAATTATACAATGACAAAAATTTTTTGTCAAAGTAGTTAGTTTAACCATATAAATAGAGCTTTCCACTCAAAACTAAGAAACAACGCCCAGCTAAATCCTCTTAAATGACACATTCACATTTCGTATCAATAACTTCATAAAAAATTGGAGTAAAAGTAATTCCATTTTGTTTCTGTTAAACTTTTTTTTCGACCAATATTCGTCTTCACTATTTCTCCAAGATCAACCCTCTTTTGGAGATTGTTTTTCCCTCGCTCTTGTTAATTGCAATTTCATTGGCTAGGCGCCCCTCGCGACCCACAGTTCAATATTTGAATAATTGAATATAACTTAGATTTGCTCTCGCCCTGACCATCATGTTCTGTTCTGGGGTTCTGGCACTGACTCCGGTCTCCGGATCAGTTGCCTCGAACCGCGTAACGGGACTGGAGCTTCGCCGGAACGATGTGCTCTATAAGGCCCCGCGCATACCGATCTTAACTCCAACGAACCGATCGCTTCGCAGTGAAAGTGAAGTGTTTCGCTCACTTTGACTTTTAGTTTGCCGGGTTTTCGCTTTGGGTTTTTGGTAGTAGCTGGTTGTTTTGTTTGGGGTTTGGTTTTTGGCATTCCCGCTCACGTTTTTTTGGGCCCTATGCTAACATAGCGGAAATTATAGAAGTGCCATAAAAAAGCGAAAATGAAATGAGATATTTGTCAACAAATCGTGACTGCATAAAAGAAATTCAAATTTCCAACACAGAGGGCAAACATTTAAGGCATTTTAATGGATATTTCTCTCTGTTTAATTGCATACTTGGATCACCCAAAGCTCTGGGTGTAATCTAACCCACTTTTATGGGTTTAATGCCGAGCAGGCAATCCCCTTCGATTTCACACCTTCGCTTTGGTCATCAAAAACCGAAGGCTGTGGCAAGTTCAGGGCCGCTATTTCGACTTAATTTAATTTAATTGACTGCTGACGGTGGGCCATGCAAATGTTTTTTTATGGCTGGGCACCTCTATCTAAGATAAGGGGCTCTTAACTGGCGATCAAGTGCCCCTACGTGTGCGAATAACCAAAGATTCCGTGTCGCCAGGCTTCTTATCAAAGGGCCTCCAATCTATGTCACATTGCTTAAAAATAATTCATTATCAGCCGTTTCTGTTGTAATATATCTTGGAGATAATAGGTGGAAGTTATTTTATCGGCCGAGTTAAATACCAGAACCAATAAAGCAGACAAACACTTGGTATCTATCTTGATTGAGTCGCGGAATTCTGGAAAATGATAATAAATAATAAACTTGACAAAAACTTTCCATTATTATTTTATGCGTTTTTCAATCACTTCTAATAACAACTTTCCCTGGAAAAAAACATTTATAAATCCGCTATTGTTAGACATATCTTAGAGATAGCAAGGGACTTACTTCATCAGACTACTTTCCACTTGTTCATTGGAAATAAAATATCAGTGTTTGAGTTCTTGAAAATAAAAGATAAAAACATTTACCAAAGATAAGATTTAAAGAGTAAAATTAAAATAAAAAAGCAAATAATACAATTTTGTAAAGATTATTGCCTTAAAAATGCTTCTGAACATACCTTAGGTAAGATTTAAAGCGCTTTTTGCCCATTTATTTTTACAAAATGGTGGTTTAAATAAATGTTAGATTACACCAATGCTTCTAATAAAAACCCCAAATGCTTAGACCTTTCTAATTGACTCAAAGTGTTGCGCAGTGTAGGCAATTGAGAAACCCATCCAGATGACAACTGTCAACTGGTTGGCGAAACGGCAGAGCCAAAAGTGATATTAAACATTTGCAGTCGACTGCGGATGACACCAAAAAAAGCGGTCACCAATTAATCTTGCCACCAAAACGCGCAATTGTGAAATGAGAAATCGAGAAAATGAAGCAAGTGACTCGTTTAATTGGCCCACGGCGAACGGCAAACGCGGCGCCAAAAGAAGCCGCCAGCTATAATGCCTTTGCCTCCTCCTCCACCTCCGCCATCAAGAAATCCCCGCCAGCTTCGGCTGCACCTGCTCCACTGGCTCGAGTGCACAACTATGGCAGAGTCAAGTCTCAGCCCGCGGGATCCTCCTCACTGCCCACCAGTTCGGCTGGAAAAATTCAATATGCGGCTCTTAATCGCATGAGAAAAAAGAGATTTGAGAAGGGAGACAAAAAACACCAGAGGAAATCCAAATGGCGACGACTTTTTGGCCAATGTTGGTGGAAAAAGAGGCGTCGCCCAAGGAACTATCAGGATTATTGGAGCAGTTCGGGTGGCAAGCCAAGGAAAAGCCTCTTTTTTTGCTATTGCTGCAGACGAAGAACCAATAGATACGACTTTGATTCCGAGGAGGAGGATGACGATATCGATGCCAAGGTGGCTTCTTATATACTCGAAATGAAACAACGCGAGGCGGTGGCCAATGGTCAAAGTGAGAATCTAGTTGAGGAGACCCCCGATCCCAATCCCCTTCCCCAGGAGCAACCGAAGCAAGTGCACCCGCAAATGCGATCCCCCTCTGTGGTTAAAAGACGAGCTTGGACCTGGGACGACAGTTTGAGGTCCAACTCGGATCGGTTTCTGGAGACCCTCGAAGAAGACCTGCCGGCAGCTGCTCCTGGGGGCAGGACATCGTTAATCCTGCACCGTCGCACTCCCCTGCATGTGACCTTCGTGGAGGGCGAGGAGGAGGAGCACGCTGAGCGGGAGGAGCATCCAGAGCAGGATCGGGTGGCGGTGCAAGGTAGGTAGGTGGGCTTCGTCTGCCTGCCACCAACTGCATGCTCCTTGCACCGACGCCCCAAGCTGCTCTCCTCCACAGATCTCCACTCTTATTGCACTTGAAATAGTTTATTTTCAACTACCTCGATCATACACTTATATTTCAAATTTGGAAGAGAACTTATCTTCTTTGAACTGTATTAGAATTACACTCTAAGTGCTCGGTAAAACCTTCATCAAAATTCAATTCTTATAAAAGTATAGTATTCTCAGAAAAAGTAATCGCCCGTTATTTTAGAAATTCTGAATGAATTGCGATTTTCTCTTTAAACTCAACAAGAATTAATGAATATTAATTTAAGGAAAAACCTAATATCGCTATGACTTGAAATTTTTCAAGTTCAGTTTGAATACTTTTTGAGTATACTGTGAACCTAAAATAAGAAGACGTGAAACATCTCAATTTCACTTAACTTAGCCTCGCTGTGACCTTATGAATTGTGCACATCATGACCTCATTGCATTCCTATCTTAACCTTATAATGATTGTCTAGAAACGTTTATGTTGACTACCAAGAATTATATTTGTGTTATAGTCATATATTACAGCTGAAAGACAAGTGTAAAGGGGAGCCATCAGCTAAAAATACTGAGAAACATTTTCTATCGATTGCCTGCAATCGTTAATCATCAGCTCGCATAGATCATTAGCCTTAATTGTGGAAAACTCGAGTGCTAATTGATGATACATTTTCTTTTCTCTTTGCAGAGGAGGCTAAAGTGGCCGCCGAGGAACTGACTAGATCGCCGGTGATTGGCCAAAGGCAGACAGATGGCACTGGCAGTCCCATTCAGTCGCGTGCCTCCAGCGAAACGTGGCCCACCCAGTCGGATGAGGACATCGATCGGCTGGTGGCCATGCACCAGAACCGCAGCAGTCTCAGCTCGCTGGGGGTAAGTACCTAAAAGCTGGAGAAGATCCCATAAAAAACTGAGTAACTCAACTATTTTGTTATCATAGGTGCGTTCGGAATCCATGGCCAGTGTTTATTCGGGAGCCGGAGAAGGTCGCTATGGCACTGTGGTGGTCAAGGGTCAGGTGGAGTTCGCCATGCAGTACAACTACAAGCTAAGTGCTTTGGAAGTCCATGTGGTGCGCTGCAAAGACCTGGCTGCCGTGGATGCCAAACGCAATCGCAGCGATCCCTATGTGAAGGTGGGTTCTTTTAACTCTATCTTATATAGTTAACCAACTAATTTCTGGTTTGACTTCCGATTAGGTATATCTTCTGCCCGACAAATCGAAGGCCGGCAAGCGCAAAACCAAAGTCAAGAAGCACACACTGAATCCCATCTTCGACGAGACGATGCGTTTCCACACACCCATTTCCAGCCTGGAGTCGCGAACTCTATGGCTCACCGTCTGGCACTCGGATATGTTTGGACGAAACGACTTCCTGGGCGAGGTCAGTGTCAATTTGCAAGGTCGCCTCTTTGACAATCCCCAGTCGCAGTGGTATCTACTCCAAGAACGCGTAAGTTTGTAAACCCCTTCACTCAAGGAGGCTTTATAGTAATTTTTTGAACTTCCAGAGCGAACCCTTCGACGAGGTGGCCACCTACAGAGGTGATATTGTGGTGGGCCTGAAATACATTCCCCCGGAGAACATTAAATCCTCGTTCTTCTCGCGCGGCTCCTCCATCACAGGCAGCTCTTCAAATCTACGCAAGTTTGGAGGCAGCATCAAGTCGGTGACCTCCAAATCAGATCGGACTTCCAAGGGCGGCCAGCTGCATGTGCTGGTCAAGGAGGCCAAGCACCTGAGTCCCATCAAGGCCAATGGAACCTGCGATGCCTTCTGCAAGAGGTGGGTTCCTAACTTCTATTAAATAACTATATATCCAACTAATTTTGTTGTTAATTCCCTAGTTATTTATTGCCCGATCGCACGCGGAGCTCCAAGCAAAAGACGCCGGTTGTGAAGCGCACTTTGCATCCCAGCTGGAACTATACTTTCGTTTATGAGGATGTCTCCCTGGAGGAATTATCGGAACGCGCCCTAGAGCTCACCGTCTGGGATCATGATCGTCTGGCCAGCAATGAGTTTGTTGGCGGCATACGATTCTCTTTGGGAACAGGTGAGTTTGAGATACTCATTCTCTCTTTCCAAATACTAATATATCTCCAATTCTAACAGGTCGCAGTTATGGAAGACAAGTAGAATGGATGGATGCCACTGGCAAGGAGCTCTCCCTGTGGCAGAACATGCTGGATCGGCCGAACTTCTGGGTGGAGGGCAGCTTGGTGCTGCGTTCCAGTTTGGATGGCATTCGAGCCAATTTGCCATAGGCCAACATATATTAACTTATTGTTTAGAACCGAGACAAACCACAAAATCGCAGTTAGAATGGCCAAATGGCCCACTGCATTGTATTGTATTGTATTAATTATGCGATAATTATCAATTAACGATCACGTCGACTCTGAGAAGCATTACTAGCGGTATAAGAAAAGGAACGATTGTAACATTCACAAGTTAGTGTTAAGAGTGTGGAATGATGATTTCTGAATACTCGAATATGGCGATGACGCTGCAAGTACCGCAGATACAAAAAAATAAAAAACAAAGTAATCAAGGCAGACATGAGAAACTAAGCAAGAAAAAAAACAAACCTTATCAAGTTTATGGCACTAATTGTAAGCGCAATTCTCAGCTATTCGATGCAGATAAAAACTAAAAGCAAAACTGTAAAGCAAAACAAACGATGAGGCCCCAAGGTTGGGCTGCCTAGATATTAAGACAATTTGTATGTGTGTGTTTTTTTTTCACCTCTCCCCTCTGAGAGGCATTCGCAATTGGCATACTATATGCGCTAAACTACGATAAAACCTACATATAAACGTAAAGTTAAAACCTAGTTAAATCGAGGCATAAGCTTACTATGTATAACTACCCATAATATCCGAAAAATACAAATAACATTTTTGTAAATTCAACATTTTTGGTTTATTTTTTGCTCTTTTGTTCCCTAGACTCTAAGCAAACTGCATATATATCTCTATCCTGACATCATACATATCGTGAACATTGTGCAAATCCAGCTAAGCTTCATGCCACTTATTTACCTGTAAGGGTAGAGACCCACCACAGCAATCAATGAATCAATCAATTCCCATAGCAGCCAAAGATGTCACCTCCCTCCAAAATCTGATTATTGTGGACTTTATATATACATAGGCATATGTATGGATAACCCTTAGGTCGTAGGGCAGCTCTATAAGATGAATTGTTTCAGAGAAATCACTTTTAAGAATACAAAAACGAGTCTTATGAATGCTTTTGGTGTAAGTGGTAGATACCGATAATACAAAGTAATATTTAACGTTGAATGATACTTGACAACAAATTTATAGAAGATGTTTTTTATAAAAGAAAATTGCTGAATCACTCGTTGCCTAAATACCGCTTGTCTTTTATACTCGATGTTTTCGAAACACACACAGATATTGCACTCGCCTGAAATTCGGTGATGATCATGATATAGTACATACATTTACACACTTTGGTAGAATGGCTCACCACAAACGAAGTTGATTACGATGTTGATATTGATGGAAATCAATGTGAATATTAAGCCGGAGTTGAATGTGGTCATAGAATACTTTCTCTAAATCAACATATGATAAATGTCAAACAATAAGCAGCAAATATTGCAAAAGTAATTGGTATTTAGTAGCATAAAAAGCGCAAGTAGGAAACCACAATATACACACAGATACTAGTTCTACCCACAAATAGTTCATAATCTAAGGTTGAAGCGTTTGCTGTTGGTTGGCTCTCTAATCTAGCCATAAATTTTGTTGGGAGCCCAATCGCACCCACACCCAATATACATATATATATATATATATATATACACACCCGTAGCCATAGTTTATTCCCTCTAAAGTCTCCAAAGTTTCAATGTTTACTACATGTATATTTTTCTACTACTTACTATGTACTTACCACCTAAATCAAGTATATCACTTACCTTAGGATCGCAGGAGAGGTGGTTGGGGTTGTGTTTTAACAATCGCCACTCGGTCTTTACTTATCCACTTACTCACTGAGATGGTGCTATATAGTCGTATATAGGATACTCGAGTACCATCCGTACTCAGTCTCAGGTCGCGAGAGAACTATGAGAGATCTTTTTACCTTTTTACTGTGTACGTGCATTTCGGATTCAACTGAACTATTGTGAACTAGTGTTGATTATACATGTTTATGGATGCGATACAGACTTCACACCTACCTACTTTATACATATACATCTACTGAGATACATTACTTATAACCCCTTTACAAGCGGTGAGCACTCCGTTCGCATTCCGTAGTGTTAAGCGTTTCGACGAAAATATTTGTTATTAGGCCCAGTTCTCACAGATTGAGAACCCCTATCGATAGGTGATTTCTATAGAACGTTTTTGACGTTTCCTGGGTGTCCCCTTGGATGCCAGGCAATTACACAGATTAATGTTACAGATTAATGATAACAGAAATATTTAGGTACCCATTGTATTTGTTAGCATTCGCCAGAATTGCTCATAGAATATAGAACCCCAAGGATAATATTTTTGATTAGGCATTTGGGCATATAGGCCCAAGAGCTATGCCCCCTCCCCCAAAAGTACACATGTTGCGTTAATGTAGAAAACTTTTTTAGCGAGTACACACATAAGTTACACAAATATACATAGTACTAGATGATGATCTGAAAAACGCTGCGGTTGCCTTCCTACAAGCATTAATCTAAGTTGTTTCACAGCTGACACACTGATTGTGTATCCCCTGTACTGCCCTGAGAACAATCTTTTGATCCCTTTTATATAATTTTACATTGAACTACTTCTTAAGTTAGACCCTTCGCTGAATAACTGATTAAGTTGGTCGAGAGTCTTTCGAGTTTCAAATGTTATCATCTGGCAACCAGCGACGGGGGCCCTAAATCACTTCTCGCCATGTCTGCGCTAGACTTTACACTTAGATTTAAGATAACCGACCTTTGGTCAGTTTCGCAATGGTCAACGGAAGTCCCAGTTGAGATTCCGAGCAATTGTACGCTAGAGTTTGTAAGACTTTCTATGGCAATTGAATGGCAGGATGAAGCGATCAAATTGTAGCCGTTATGTTTATGGCATTTAAGCGTTACATAATTACAAGAGTTTACATAACCATTTACAAGATACAAGATACTTATGACCCTTTTACTTACAAGTAAGTACTTAATACAAAAGCAAACAATACAGACGACACACGATTCCCAAAAAGCTGATGAACTCAAGAAATTGGCTCAATACAAGTTGCTAAGTTAAAATTGTGTTATAAATTGTGAACAGCAGTGAATCAATAAAATAAAGCAAACTTCACATCTATTGACAACTTTCGCAACAACCGTGTCTAGTTTTCTTTTTGCCTAAAAGCCCTATGGGGTCTTTGGTATGGAGGTCTGTGGGGAAATACTTTGATTGGGTTTTATCTACACTTCCGCTTCCGTTTCGGATCTTGTTTGCTGTCCGTTGAGTTGATGCAGCTTGACTTCCTCGACGGGTTCCTTGGATACATCGTCGTCGTGCCGGCGCCAACAGTCGAAGGACAGCATGGATTCGCCCTTGCCAAAGGCCTCACCATCCGCCAATGTGATGGGAAGTTGTCTGTGAATTATAAAAAAGTATATTAGTTTCAGAAAAAACCTTAACATTGGATTTAAAAATAAAAGTATAAAAAACTATGGCAAAAAATCTATACGGTTTAAATTTAACACTCAAATATTATTTTAGCTGTGTAAAAGTATGCTGTGAATAAAGAATAGCCATCTTTCTGATTGAATTCATTGTACTAGTGAGTGTAAAATATTTTGTAGCATACTTTTAGACACCTAAAAATGAAATTTAAAAGTGAATTCATTCATTTCATTGGTTATAATATTAGTATAATATTAGCAAGACCCGTAGGCTCTTTAAACTGATTTTTAAATCTGTTCAAAAAGTACAGATTTCTCACCTGTTGTTCGTTTCCGGCAGCAGGAGCGTGCAAAAGGCCGCCGAAAGCAGGAGCATGGCCAGGATGAGGGACGGAGCGGCCGCCAGCTTAGTGCCCAGATGAATGAGGTAGGGTGACACAAAGGACGCCCCCGCAGCAGCCAGGTGCACTGCAGCAATTCCCCTCGAGCGCACACAGGTGGGCAGTAGCTCCGATGCGAACTGTGAGGTGACCGTGTAACACATGGAGATACCTAGCCTCATGGGCAGGGCGAAGGCCAACAGTAAGGTCACATTGCTCTGGGCGCCCTCTGTGGAGAGTGCCACGCCCAGGGCGCAGGACAGCAATCCGGTGCAGAGCATGGCCAAAAAGGCCGTGGCCTTGCGGCCCACTCGACTCTGCAGGAGTCCCTGAATGAATCCAGATGGCGGGACGACCACGGCGAACAGGGAGAAGACCACAAAGGGCGAAAGGCCGAGGCCCTCCACATTTCGAGAGATGGTATTAAAGCTCAATGAAGTCAACATGCTGCGTATGAAAGGAAGGAAGAGAAACCAAATATTAAATTAGTAAATCAACTCAGAAATACTCATTGAAGACTATCTATACCAATACAGCCACTTAATCTATACAAAATAAAACATTTAAGGAGCTTATTCTATATATATCAGCCATTAATTTTAAGAAATTGTCTACTGGCCCAATTTTTAAACCTTATAAAAGGTTTCTGTAGGTTTAATGAATACATTTTCTTAAGAAGTGTACAACCAATTTATTTTATATACATCGAAAAATTGTCCTTGAGATCAAATTTATTTTTTACATACAGAACGGATATTTTTTGGTTGTCGAATAGTAATTTATAAGTTGCAAAACTTGTCGTTCTAGAAGTTAGTAAATTATTTTAAAATTTTTAAAATAGTTTAAAAATGTAATCCCTTAGTGAATTTGTAAGCACTTCCAAATGAAAAAATAAAAAATTCGGATCTTAAACCAACAACCAATTGTCATACTTACAAAGTAATTAGCATCAGCAACGATGTCTTTCGTAAATTTGGGGTCCGCAGTAGATCGATAATTCCGGCTGTTTGTTCCGGTTGATTCGAGAGCTTTCTCTTAACGATGCAGCTCCGCCTGAAGGCCTCAAAGTCGGCTGCCTTTACCTCCTTTCCATTGAAGTGGGCGATGTGCTTCAGCCTGGCAATGGCCCCTCCACATTGGTCCGCGTGATTAGCCACTGGGCACTCTCCTGAACCACAAAGTAAAACAGGGCCACCACCAGTTGGAGGAGCGCCGAGCAGGTCAGGTAAATCCTCCAATTACCAGCCAGAACAGATAGCCAGGGAGCCACCAGAGCTCCCAGGCAGAAGCATATGCCCAGGGTTCCACTTATGGCCATGTTCCTCAGTTTGGGCGCCAAGTATTCCAGAACTAAAATAAGCATTTAAAATGGCAATTAAAATGTGTGTTAATAAATAAATAAAAAAATATTATTTAGGAATCTTAAGCATGTAAGGTATTCTTAAAAAGCGGTCATTACTTCAGGTTAACTCAGTTGGTTGAACCAACAGATGAGTTCACAAAGAGGTAATCTGATATCGTATGGTCCTGGCACTCATGTATAACCTAATGTCATCTGGTTAATCTAAACAGATGCGTAACATGGGTAGTCTTGGCAATTACTAAGAGTAGACACTGTTGTTGACTCTGAACTGTACATATGTATTGTCAAAGCTTTCCCCAGATCTACACCCGTTCTTGCCGGAGTGCCAGAGATATCGCAGTGCTTACCCAGAATAAACATGAGATAGTAATTTGCCGTGGCGGCGAGACCAGAAATGCACCGAAAAATGGCGAACTGCACCAAGTTGGAGGCGTATGTGGTGAGAAAGTCGCCGACAAATCCACACTGATTGGCCAGGATGACGGCTCTAACCCGGCCGATCTTGTCGCCCAGCATGCCGAAGGTGAA